ACTTAGTCATTATTTTGAATCATATCCTATCGTCATTCTTATCACATTTCCTATAAGAGTGATCCTGTATAAGCCAGATCTGTCAGGAAGAATGACAAAGTGGGCCATTGAGCTGAGCTCGTTTGATATAATATATGAACCTCGAATGGCCATAAAATGACAAGCGGTGGCCGATTTCCTGCTGGAATGTGATGTAAAAGACATAGAAGAAGACCTCGGAAGTTCATCATGGAAGTTTTTCGTTAATGGTTCTTCAAATCAAATGGGGGCAGGCATAGGGATCAAGCTGCAAACCCTAGAAGGTATCACGTTATGTTAAGCGATCAGACTTGAGTTTAGAGTAACAAATAATGAAGCAGAGTATGAAGCATTGCTGGCAGAACTGAGATTGGCCAAAGAACTAAAGGTCAAGAGTCTAGTTGATTTTAGCGACTCGCAGCTGATCGTTAGGCAGGTGACTGGGGAGTATGGTACCAAAGATGAGACAATGGAGGCATACAGTTCTGTCGTTATGCATAAAGCATAAAAATTTGATCAGATCAAGTTCATCTAATTACCAAGAGAATATAATGAAGATGCCGATCGGCTGGCCTATAATGCGTCGAATTTCAGAGAAACACTGGCAAGGGTGATTCCAGTTGATGTGTTATGTCAACCCTCCATCTTTGCAGAACCACTAGGCTTGGATCCTCGGCATGCAAATGTCATACTATATAAGCTAAGCTGGATTAATCCAATCATGATTTTCATACAAGATGGTATGTTACCCGAACAAAAAGACGAAGGCAAAGAAAATCAGATCAAATGCTGCAAATTATGCCATTATCTATAATCAATTATATAGGAGATCTTTCTCGGATTCGTATTTGAAATGTGTTACCCCCTTGCAGGCTGGGCAGATCCTGTGAGCTATCCATGAGGGTGTATGTGGCAATCATTCAGGAGGGAGATCTCTGGCACATATGTGGCAATCACTCAGGAGGGAGATCTCTAGCGCATAAAACAATGACGTAAGGATATTTTTAACCAAACATGTCGCGAGATGCAAAAGAATTCTCTAGAAGATGGGTTAAGTGCCAAAGGTTTGGACCACTGATCCACCAACCACCTGAAGATTTGCACGTAATGGCTAAACCATAGCCTTTCGTGCAGTAAGGGATAAATGTGGTTGGCCTTCTGCTGAAGGCGAGATCACAGAACAAATACATTCTGCTTGCAACAAATTATTTTACCAAATTGGTAGAAGCCGAACCATGTCCTAGTGTAACCCAGACTCAAGTAAGACGCTTCATATGGAGTAATATCATTTGTCATTTTGGTGTGCCAAGGTCAATCATTATGGACAATGGAACCAATCTGAACAGTAAGCAAGTAAGGAACCTGCTAGAAGAGTATGGAACTAATCAAAACTCGGCAGCGGTAAGCCATCCGCAGGCGAACGGTCAAGCCAAATTCACAAACAGAATAATCTTTACTTTTATCAAGAAGAAGCTTGAAGAAAAGAAAGGAAAAAGGTTGGATGAGCTTCCGAACATCTTGTGGGCTTATAAAACAACCCTTAGACTACCAACCAGCGAAAACCCCTTCACCATGGCATATGGCACGGAGGCAATAATACCGGTTGAGCATTTAGTTCCGACTGTTCAAATTTGGCATAGGATCAAGAACAAAATGACAGTATGCTGAAATTTAACCTTGATTTGCTGGAAAAGAAAAGAGATGCAATAATAATAAGACTCGCGTCTTATCAGTAAACACTTATGAATAGTCACAACAAAAAGATGAAGTATAGAGATTTTGCACCTAGTGACTTAGTTTTGAAAAAGAAGTTAGGAATCGTCAAAAAAATGATGTCACCTTGGGAAGGTCCATGCAGAGTTACAGAGGCCATAGGAAAGGGGGCATACAATATCTAGAGACCATGGCTGGAAGATTGATTAATAAACCATGGAATGCCACGTCTCTAAAAAGGTTTCACCAGTAAAATTAGATTGCAAGATTAAATTCCATTCTAAACGATGTTCATTTAGAATTGTGCTTATATGAATGTATCGATCCAACAAGGTTTATAAAAAGAGTTCATTTCGCTTCAAAAATTGATTGAGCGCCAAGCATTTAGGCAAGTAAGTGGCAAATGACACTATGAACCAAACGCCAAAAACTTGCACAAAATAAAAAGTTCAGTGGCAAGTGGCATTCTAACCAAGCGCCAAGCACTTAGACAAGTAAGTGGCAATGGCACTATGAGCTGAACACCAAAAACTTGTACAAAATAAAAAGTTCAGTGGCAAATGGCACTATGAGTCGAACACCAAAAACTTGCACAAAATAAAAAGTTCAGTGGCAAGTGGCATTCTAGTCGAGCGCCAAACATTTAGACAAATAATTGGCAAACGGCGCCAAAAACTTGCACAAAATTAAAAGTTCAGTGGCAAGTGGCATTCTAGCCGAAGGTCAAGCACTTAGACAAGTAAGTGGCAAAGTTTGACATCAATAGGATTGGCAAAAACATACATATATGTATATTCATTTCATTCAACAGTTCAAAACAAATTTGGAGTTACAAAAATGAAATGTCCTGATGAAATGAAAACAAAAACTAGCACGTCCACAAGATCCTAGTCAACCCTATCTGTTTCCTCGGTCTCCCTGGTGCGCTCAGCATTCTCCTCACCATCATTAACTGCCTCATCTCCTCTAGAAGGAGAGTCAAGCTGGATGATTTCCTCAATTAGTTGAACTCCACCATCAGCAACAATTGCAGGAAGAACCATAGTGGACAAAGGAGAAATGTTCAGAGGCTGATTAATTGAGGGGGCAGGAATGACCCCAGAAGACGTAATTTTGGCAGGGTCAGAGGCTGGATCAGTATAAATGCTCGGATGATCGATCTCTAAGAAGGCATCAACATCGTCTGGACTAAGCGTAAGAGCTCGTTTGACCTTCAGGAGGAGAACGGTCTATATAACCGTCTCTATATCCTTCTGCATATCTAAGGGCCCCAATCCAGGAGAAGCGAGCATGAAAAGCCTTCATACCACCATCAACCCTGCTAATGATACTTAGCAAGGCAGCACATTCATCTGAAGCTCTCTTCTCAAGAACCAATTAGTTCTCCCATTCGTCGTCCAATGAACGCTAAAGATTTTCTCTATCAGTTCTCAGAGTGTCCCTTTCGGTCTGCATGACATTTTTCTTAGTTTGTAGAGCATCTTTCTCATCATGGAGGGAGTCTATCTCTTTCTTCAAAGCATCCTTTTCATTCTCAACATTATTCAACTGCACCATTAGTTCGGCGTTTTTGGTGCTGATCAATTTGTTTTCTTTGTTAGCTACATTAAGTCTAGTAGCGAGCCTACGCGCCCTTGCATTGGATAACTTGACATGTTTTTGCATGGTCATCATTCTGAACAGAATCTGCAAACAGATACACGAATACTAATTATACCGAATGTATATCTAAAGAAGTTCGAGAATAAAAACTTTTTTGATCTTACCGAAAGAGGGATGGAAAATTACCTCCATAGTAGCCATAGGAAAACGGCTGAACGTTTCCTTCTAGGTCAGTTCCTTTTGCATCTCAATATCTTTAGGAGACCATAGATTCTTATAGTAAGCCAGGGCGGTCTGACCATCTTTGAACATGGTATCATTGGAGTTGACAACTAATTCATCTGCTCGAACGAATCGAGGAGTCCATGGAACTACTTCAGAGGGCGAGGTGGAAGCTCCTCCTATTCCAGCGATAGTGGTAGGTCCACCTTGTGATATGATAGGTATAGTCACCCCAGAAGGCCAAACCCTTCTTGACAGAAGAACTTCATCGAGGTCAGACCCACCATCCGGTCGAGGTCTCTTCCCTTGATTCTTATCCGAAGTGGACACACAGGCAAAAGGAGAATTACTAGTTCCAGGAGCATTGACCAAAACAACATAGAAAGTATTAGAGCTCGGATTGATGACAAGTGCAGCGCTCGGAATAACACTATAAGTGGTAGCAGGAGTAGATGCCGAGGCAGAGGCGGAAACCGAAGCAGAAGCAATGGCATTCTTGGGAGGATTCTTTCTTCTGTTGAAAGAATGGATCTGGATCTGATCTATGAGAACACCCAAAAGTGATATGTCGCTAAGATTCTCCGATGTAAGGAGTTCTGAGCAAGAAGGAACGTTATTCAGAACGTTCTCCTTCAAGTGATTCACCTTATCCCTGCAAATGCTGTAACTCAATTCACTATAAAGACTACCTAGAGAATCGAAAAGAAAGGTATAGAAGTGAGGAAGACAAATTTCACAAGGACATTCACTCTTATGGGTTTTATGTTTTTTGTACAAGGAAACAGAGCATTCACCAAAGGCGCTCGGGATGGGATAATCCCTAGCAGCTGGAGTGAACCAAGCCCCTCTAACCCCAATTATGTTTTTCTTCCACCCTTTCTCGGAGTCTAGCTTATCCGTACATATGGATCGTTTCTCAATGGGAAATAAATAATAGTACATGTCAGTTAACCTAATTTTACTGATCCTATAACAAAGGAGTAGATCTAAAATATCCAGATCTAAACCCCTGTCACGGTTCAGAATCAAAAGAACGGACAAAACCCTAAGAAAGTTGGGGTTTACTTGAAGAGGAGAAAGATTTAGTCTATTAAAGACATAACAGAAGAAATGGTGCAAAGGAAATCTGATAACGTTCAAATAAAATAGAGAGAACAGGATTTTGCCGGGAAGAAAACCTACACTAGTTTTAATATTCACATTCTTGGGGCATACCCTAATAAGTACATTACTAGGGATTTTGTGTTTCAAACGGAGAAGGTCTAAATCAATGGTCATGGCAAGGATGATCGGAACCCTCTAAGAGATATATTCAGTTTTCTAGGAAATAAAGAAGAGCAAGACTAACCTTAAGAGTTAAGGATTGCTAAGGATACTGCGAGAGAGCTGAGAAGGATAAACCTTTTGTAAAAATTCGTCGAAGAAGACTTGATTTTGCTGGAAAGATGAACAGTAAACTAATTGAAAAAAGGTGTGATGGAGACAAGAGAAAGGGTTATAAGTACAGGTTGAGGAGTTTAAAAAGGAAGGATGGTCCCAATAGCCGAGACGTCAAGGAAGTAAAGAGATTCCAAAATTCAAAGCATCGATTTCTAGACCGAATCGTTCACTCCCCCACATCATCATCTCGAGCAATCATATCATAATTGTGCCTCTTTGGTAATCTCATCCTAATCAAGTAGGGAGAGATTAGGGGGCAGGTGAAGATACCGAAAATAGCCTGGGCCGGGTACGACCCATATTACTAAAGATTAGATCTGGAAAGAACGTTGGACCCAATCGGATGACCACACATCAGGCCCAATATCCACTAAGACAAACCTCAAGCCCAATCTAAAAGCAAAGGGAAATGGGCGAGTTCAAGGAGGAGCCCAAAAGATCGGTCCAACATGAAGGACTGAAGAAGAAGTTTCTAGAACAATTGTAAAAGTCTATAAATAGAATGAAAAGGGGAAAAACCGGTTGAAATATTTTGAAGTGTAAAGACTTATCTTTCCAAATGGAGAGAGTTTGTTAATTACATCGTCATGAATTCTTGAGCAACCCCAACAGCATTGATATTATTTCAGTTTCACAGCTCTATTGCATCAAAATATTCCAAGCACCATTGCTTTATTAGCTATAAACTCTTCATCCCACCATATGTTTTGAGCAGCCAAGCATTTCTAGCATTTCTAGCCAAGCATTTCTAGTCTATCACACTAATTTGGTGAAATGAACGAAAATTGATTGTTTCATGGAACTTACGTTGAGGAATTTTAAGAATTCTCTGCCAATTGTCTTTTTTTTTTGACAAACAATTGCTTTTAATTAACTTCACATTTTAAATCTTTGTATCTTGACTCACCGGGTTCTCAATTCGAAAAAAGAAAAAAATTATTTTTGACGACAGTGGCTATTAGATTTCCATTTATCATCCCAAAAGAACCTATTTTCCATTAACTACCCTCCAAGGCAACCCTTCTTGAACTTGTAGAGCTTCCAACATACCCAGTCAAGCGTAAATAATGAGCAAGAATTTTATTAAATTATAAACATGAATAACATATATTTAACAAAATTTAAACTTAAGTTATAATTGATATAAAATAAAAATGTTAGTAGCTTAGAAAACATTTTGCATCATTTATGAAGTAATACATTTTACTATAAACTCTGATTTTGGAAAATAAAATAAATATTATAACAACAATCAAGCCTTTTATCAATTATTGAGGAAGTAATGAACAGAAATATATATTTAAAAAAAAATGAAGTTGGTTGTGTTCGATTAAAAATAAAAATATTTAAGAATCCAAAAATTAGAACTAAAAAAAAATAACCACCAACAGCCTTTCGAACTTACACTCCATTCTGGATAGTTTAGAGGTTTTTTTTTTTTTCTTTGAATTCCTTAAATTAACCTAACACTCTAATCTCTCCCATGGTCAGTTCAATTATCGATATCATGCAATTTGAATTCCTTAAATTAACCTAACACTCTAATCTCTCCCATGGTCAGTTCAATTATCGATATCATGCAATTTAAAAACTCTAATTTTCAAATAATTGATTAAAAATTTCAATTTAGATCAGTGCAATTATCAATACGAAAAATTACTCTCCTAAATACCCAATCAATGGAAATCTATAGCACCACTCAATTTATGTCTTTCAAAATAGTTGTCATTTTTAATTTTTTCTAATATTTTAAGTAAAAATTACTATTTTTACCAAAATAAATTAACTTCAATGAAAATAACGTGAAGCTTTTTGGACAAATTTCAAAAATTAAATTATCCAAAATAGAGTATTAATCATCTGGGTAAAGTACAGCCACACCCCCTGAGATTTGGCAAAAGGACACTCAGAAGAAACTTATCTGTTTTTTGGACCAAGACACCTCTTGAAGGTTCAAAAATGAACAAAGACACCCCTTTACATGAAAATTTGATCAAATTACCCTTTAATCGTTTAGGAGACTTTTTTAACTTTACAATTTAATAAATTGGACCAATCTACCATCATGAATAATTTATGCATAAAAAAAAAAAAAAAAAAAAAAAACTTTATATTGTTCATTTATTTATTTATTTATTGGTTATTTACTTTATAAATGTCCCAACTTCTTAAAAAATTAGACGTCTAAAATGATTTTTTGATTTAATACATATATTTCAAATAAATTATATTTTGTTATTACTTCTTTTCTTTTTTTCTTTTTTTTTTGAATTAAGATGCTTAATTATTTTGTCTAAAAAAAATAAACCAATCTTTTTTTCTTAAAAATAAAAAATATGGTATCAGTATAACTTTATGCATCTTAAATTATATATCAAATAATATGCATTTCCCAACATAAAAGAAAATAGGTACCAGTATAATTTTATGCATCTTAACTTTATGCATGCCTTTTTCTTCTTTTTTTTTTCCCTTTGTTTTATTATTTTTTTTCTCCTTTGTTTTATTATTATTTTCCCTTTGTTTTATTATTATTTTTTTTCCCCTTTTATGTTAGTAAATGCATAATATTTGATATATAATTTAAGATGCATAAAGTTATACTAGTACCATATTTTTTATTTTTAAGGAAAAGAGATTGGTTTAACTTTTTTAGATGAAAGAATTAAGCATCTTAATTTAAAAATAAAAAAGAAAAAGAAAAGAAATAATAACAAAATATAATTTATTTGAAATATATGTATTGGATCAAATAATCATTTTAAACGTCTACATTTTTAAGAAGTTGGAACATTTATAAAGTTAAAAGAAAATAAAAATAAAAAAAAATAAATTTTTTTTTTTCTGGTAACTTTTTTTTTTTATTCATTAATTGTTCATAAGGGGAGATTAGTCCAATTTATTAAATTGTAAAGTTAAAAATGTCTCCTAAACGGTTAAAGAATAATTTGGTCAATTTTTTATATAAATTGGTGTTTTTATTTATTTTTGAATTTTCAGAAAATATTTTTATCCAAAAAATAAATAAATTTTATCATGATTAGATAGTCAGATGCATGATTTGTCGTGCAACAATTTCTCACTCCAAAATAAAGAATCGATGACAAACTCATTCTAAAATAAAGAATGGATGATGGGACTGATTAGACATGTAGAAAAGGTATTAAATTGTCTAAACTTGTCTAACACCCAATCATGTGTGTTTGTCACACACCACAAATTATTTCGGGTAAAATATAGCATTCCATTAGTAAAAGAAATAATAATTAAATTATTTACGCACAATTTTAAATTCAAAAACTTTTTTTTTGTTAAATGACTAAACAAGTTTACCTTTCAGGTTTGAATTCTGGATAGGGTTTGAAATTAGCAATAAAATAAATAAATACAAGTAATTCTTTTGTACATTCTAAAACGTACCACTCAAAAAAAAAAAACTCATTATAAGAAAGGTTGATACTCTTAGTAAAACATGCAACAATTTGGACTTCTTTACTGTAATAAATTTAAAATTAATTAACTAAACTTGAATGAAAAATTTTAGAATTAATTTAGTATATATTGCTTGTATATGACATTCATTTGAAAGGAAGGTGCAATCAAGTTTAACCCAGAATAAAAAATAAATAAATAAATAAAACTGATTATAAGAAAGGTTGTTGATGTGGTTTAACAATCCTTTTAGTAAAACATGCAATATTTTTAACTTCTCTACTAACATAAATTTAAAATTAATTAAATAGACTTGAATGGAAAATTTTAGAATTAATTTAGTATATATTGCTACACAAATATGAGATTTATTTGAAATGAAGGTGCAATGAAGGACTTACCAAAACCCAGTTCACAAAGCTAATAACCAAAAAAAATTAAGGTACATCCCAACATGTTACTTCAATAGAAGTAGGGGTGCAACTTGGGCGGGTTAGCCCAGCCCAACCCGAGTCCAGCTCATGAATTCTAAAATTTGGACATATAAATTTACAATTCGGGTTTCAGTCGGGTTGGGTTTTTTCAAAACCCAACCTTATTCGGTTTGGGCTGGGTTCAACCCGAACCCAACCCGAAAGCCCAAATTAAACATTTCATTAAAAAAATAAAAAAATAAAAAAAAATAACGATAAAGAAACCCTAACTTTCTCTCTCCTCATCCTTCTCTTCTCTCTGGCCTTCCTGCCGATTTCCTGTGAAACTCGATCTCCTGTGAAACTCGAAACGCGGTGAAGCTCTCAGCGACTCCCTCTATCTCATATCTCTCAGCGACTCCCTCACCTACCAGCGATTCCCTCTATCTCATATCTCTCAGCGACTCCCTCACCTCCATCTCACATCTCTTGGGGACTCCTTCTATCTCACATCTCTGGTGGGTTGAGGTAATAATTAACTTTTTCGATCTTTAAATTATGCTTAATAATAGTATTTGATTTCATGGATTTTCACAAAGTCACATGACTCTGTTGCATTTTCAAAGCGATTAATGTTTAACAAATCGTGGACGTGAAAGCTTTGTACTGCTGAATTGAATTTTGTTCGAGTTTTTTTGATCTCTCATATACTTTGTTTATGTTAATACATTTCTATAGAGGCTAAAGCTTAACTAAGATGTGAAGCCCAGAACTATTCTATCCATTGCATCCCATTTTCTGTTCAGATCTGGGTTTTGAATTTGGAAGTTTATATGTCTATCCATCTGTAGTTTCTAAATTCATATATTCTTCTTGTTTGTGTTGCAGTTCATCAAAATTGTTAAATATTCATGCAGTTTTTCCTGGCTTTCTTTCTTTATTTTTTTTGTTCTCCAGCTTATTAGAGATGTGAACATAGCTATTGCAGTTGAAGCCATTCAAGCAATTGGGAATCTTGCAAGGGGCCTAAGAGCCCATTTTTCTGGGAGTTCACGTTTCCTATTTACTGTTTTACTTGTAAGTGTGTCATTGAATATTAAAAATACTCACACAGCCCAAAAGCTTTGCATGAATACGTGAGAAGGAGATGAGCATTTTTGTTCATTTTGCTTATGTGATAATATTTATACCTTTTTCTTGCCACTCCCTTATCTGTTTGTGTGTGTGTGTTTGTGCTAATCAATTGCTTATTTGGTAAATCCATATATATATATATATATATATTTATATATATTTAAAAAAACCTTAATTACTCTCCCAAACTCTGTTCAGAGAGAGGAAATACCACTAAGATTAAAAATGTACATTAAAAGGAGCTTTTAAATAGATGAACTGTTACGATTTTAGTTAAAATTTCTTGCAAATATTTCTAAATTTCCTTTGGCAATGTGAGTTGAAATCAATAATCTTCTAAATGCATAATGTTGGAACTTCTAGTATGTGGTCTCAGTGACCACAATGAAGTTGTCTTTCTATTATTCTCAGGGACTTGAAGTTTTGTAATGTGGGCTTAGCAACCACATTTTCTGCCTTTCTGTAATGTCAATGTTTGTAAACCACCAATTGAGTATAATTGAATGGAAAGAGTAAAGTATAAGAAGAGATTCTAATTTATAGACTGTGGGACAGATTGGTGGCTTTTTAGAAGTCTGAATGGTATAACTTTGTCTAAAAAAAAAAAAAAAAAATCTAAATTGTCTTTGTCTTGATGTTGAGGAATAAGACCTAGAATTACGTTAAAATTAAATTAAAGATTACTATTATTTTTATTATTATTTTCTTGGCTTATTAATTTATTTATGGTTTTTCAAATTTTTTTTTTTGGCTGTTGCATAGGAGGATTATGTGCTTGTTATTCCTTAGGATATTAGAAAGAAGTCCATGGTTGCAACTATTAAGGTGATTCTCTCTCTTATACTTGTGTGTAAATTCCTGCTAATTATGTTAAACTCTTGTTGGCATTTTGGCTCCCACATTTACAGTAGAAATCGAAGTATATTATGGTAGAAATTGAGTTTATAAGTTTATAATAAGCCTGAGAAGAATATAGTTTATAAGTTTAGATTCAGAAGTATATTACGGTAGAAATCGAAGAGAGAAATATAGAAGAAACAAATAGAGAGAGACAACAATTGATTGGGAAAGATAGAAACAATATGGAAAGAGTATCCCAGAGAGAGAGAGTATAATTTTTATTCAGAAAGGGAAAAGGGTTTAACTTTCCCCAAAAACACCCAAAGATTGTGCAGTAAACTTTCACAATTAAACTTTCACAACAAAAGTAAACTGTTCTCTTCATTTTTTATTTTTTATTTTGTATAATATATTTATTATTCAAGTTTGTAATTGTTAGATATTTTATATATTTTTATGTTTTTGCAGCAAGTATTTCTTGAAGATGTCAGACATGGAAGAAAGTGGATTTGAAACCCAACCAACTTCAAACTCATCAACTTGTTTTGAGGTAAATCGTAAAAAAAGGAAAAAAACCCTATAAGACTACATCTTTTGTTTGGGACCATTTTACAAGAGAATTGTTAGAGGATAGATCATACATGCAAGCTACATGTAATTATTGTCACAAACTATATAATTGTCCGAGTAGTCATGGTACTACTACCCTTCGTAGGCACCTTAATAGGTGTTGTGATTATCCTTATAATAAGGATAAAGTTGGAAAATTCTCAGCATCAACCCAAAACCAGGATCCCAATTGGACATTTAACCAAGATGTTCTTCGAGAAGAACTTGCTAGGATGATTATTGTTGATGGATTGCCATTTAGTTTTGTGGAAAAAGAGGGTTTTAAAAGGTTTTTGAGTTATGCAGAACCAAGATTCCATATGATTTCACGAACCACAATTGGGAAGGATTGTATTGAATTATATTTAAGTGAAAGAAATAAGTTGAAGACACTTTTTGAACTTTCTGCTTCACGTGTGTGTCTCACTACCGATTTATGGACTTCTATTCAAAACCTTGGGTACATATGCCTTACGGCTCATTTTATTGATAGAGATTGGAAGTTACACAAGAAAATTATAAATTTTTGTGTGCTTCCAACTCCACATCGTGGTGAGGCTATTGCACAAGCCGTGGATACATGTTTATTAAGTTGGGGTCTTGAAAAAGTGTGCACTATCACCGTAGATAATGCAAGTTCAAATGACACGGCGGCAGCAAAGTTGGCACAGAAATTAAATAAAAGAAATGGATTGTTGCTGAATGGGGAATTATTTCACGTAAGGTGTTTTGCACATATTTTGAACCTTATTGTGAATGATGGAATAAATGAGGTAAAAAAGTCCATCCTTCGTATTCGTGAGTTTGTGAAATATGTAAGGAGTTCTCCTTCAAGATTGCAAGCATTCAAAAAATGCGTTGAGGAGGAAAGAATTTGGAGTTTAAAGTCTTTATGTTTGGATGTTCCTACTAGATGGAACTCAACATATCTAATGTTGAAATCAGCCATTGATTTTCAAAAGGCACTTGAACGTTTGGCAGAGCAAAATCCTAGTTTGGGATTACGTTTGGTGGAACAAGATACAAGTTTGGAAGTTTCTGAGGAGCCGATGAGTGAGGATGATTGGTTGAAGATAAGGGATCTTTTTAAATTTTTAGAGTACTTCTACAATGTCACAAAGCGCATATCAGGGTCCAAATATATTACTTGCAATAAATACTTTCGTGAAGTGTTTGGAGTGCAAACTGTCCTCTTAAGATGGACAAAAAGTGAGGATTTGCGTTTTAGAGAAATGGCTATTAAGATGAATGCCAAATTTGAGAAGTATTGTAATATTCGAAAGTTGAATTTGATCTTGATTATTGCTGTGGTTTTAGATCCATGTTTTAAGATGAAGTATGTGAAGTTTTGTTACAAGAAATTATATTCATCGGAAGAAGTGAATGAGATCATTGGAAAGGTGAAGAGTTTGATGGAAAGGCTTTTCAGACACTACAAATCATTGGAAATAACTTCCCCTACAGGCTTTGGTGCTCATTTAGCTCAAAACCTTGAAGATGTTTATGTGTCCAATGAAAAAGAAGATGGTTTGGAAGAAGATAGAGATTGGAAAATTTTTTTTGAGAGAAGAGGAAAATGAGGTGGCTAAATCTAAGTTGGATAGATACTTGGAAGATGGTGTGGAAGAAGATCAATCAAATTTTGACATTTTAAGTTGGTGGAAGGGAAAATCTTCTACATATCGTGTACTCTCTCTTATGGCCCGGGATATTTTGGCCATTCCCTTGTCAACAGTTGCTTCTGAATCTGCTTTTAGTACGGGAGGTAGATTGCTTGATAGATTTCGAAGTTCTTTAACTCCGAAAATTGTAGAAAGTTTGATTTGTGCTCAAGATTGGCTAAGAGCTTCACCTAATCCAGATGAGATTGAAGAGACGTTGGAGGCTCTTGAGGTTGTCGAACAAGGTATTGAATAATTACCCTTTTACTTGTTCATATATGTATAAATTATACAGTATAATAGGAGAATCTTACATATTTTTAATTTGCATTTTGTAGAAATTGAAAAGACGTTGGAGGCTCAAAATTTCCTCTGATCTTTTTCATCTATGGATGACAAGTAGTCATGATATGCTTGATCAACCAAAGTGTTGCTCATATATTGAGAAGGAAACTGAGAGTAGATAGACTGTTTGAGGAAGAGTTGCCTGTTAGTAATGAACTAGCCGTATCTGTTTTTAATGTTTGAAATTTTAATTCTAAAAAGGAGAAAGTATTCAGTAGCAAAATATAATAGTCCATTTCATATCAATGGTATTAATTTTGACATTGTTAACTTTTATCTTGTTATTTTGCTGTTCACAAGAGTATGCCCTTGGTTGCTCTCTGTACATTATTGTCAGATCCTTGTTCTTCTGTGTTGCTGAATGACAAGAACAGTGCATTAGATTATTCTCATATCTTTATTTATTTATTTATAATTAATCCTCCTTATTATGGTTATACAAGTATTCAACTTTCAAGTTGTCTGATGGAATTGTTATGTCTCTTTAGATACTCCTTTTGTTTACCAGTGTTTCACCTTCTTATTTTATTTTATTTATTTATTTATTTATTTATTTTTTTGGCTTTCATCCTTGGAAATAGCAATGAAAGATTGAGGTGAAGCTGTTATAGGTTGCAATTTATTAGGAGACACAACTCTTTGATTGGTTAAACTTTCAACCCAGTGAGATTAGAGAATGTATCAATACATTTTAGGATAGTCACTAAATTTAAATCAACATAAAATAGCATCAGTAGCTCATTGGCAAATGCTACATGTGTAATAGTCATTTCCTTGCATCCCCAATGGTACCTAAAGATGGATTAGAGGAGGCGAGTTTGGTGATAACAGAAGAGATGATATCCATTGCAATGACAAAAAGTAAAGGTGGAAAAGGGTCCCAAAATTTTTTTTTTTTTTTTTTTTAAAAAAAAAAAAATCAACCCGCGAACCCTACCCGACCCGACCGAACATATTTGGTTCGGGTTATAACCCAACCCATGTTGGGTGCAATTCGGGTTGACCCAACCCAATCCGATTCGGGTTGAGGTTGGGTTGTGGCTGGGCTGGGTTGGGCCAGCCCAAGTTGCACCCCTAAATAGAAGTAACCGTTGGTGCAAGTGACAACTAAGAACATTATATCAGAATTCAGTAAACAACACTATATATCCCGGTGATTGCAGAACTCGGAAATCTTCACTGGACGGTAATCAGCCGTCTTGAAATTTTTCATTGGGTAGAAGAGAAGATTAGGTTTAATACACCCCTCGCTTTGCTTCCAAATATAATCACCTATGGCGTGATTACCAGGGCATGTTTACTATTTCACACAAAGATATTTTTAATTTCCTCTAATATCTCATTTAAAGACTCGTGAATTTTAAAACTACTAAAAACAAACAACTCTCTATATCATAGTTGCAGTCCCACATATAAGTGATTAATGCTCTTAGGGATGCGATATATCATGTTGGAGTTGCTCATCTATAAATGAAAAATGGATGCTATGTAAGACATAACACATAGTTTATGCCCGGTCACGAAATAGGAACAATAGACCTCAAGTTTTTGCATACTTACGGATACAGTGCATTTGTATTTGAATTTTTTTTTTCCAAATTATTTTTTGAAAAAACTAAATTCAGATAGACATGGAAACAAAGCTTGCAACATATCATGCATGACTCTTGTTAGGACTTTCACTCATTAATTTTCATAGTAATACATACAACTTCTGAATCTCAGACACTCTTGAAGAATTGAATTTCACTCTTACTTGAAGAAATTGATTTCCATTGTCTTAGAATATTGTGTTACAAGATAGTACGCTGGAGCATGTTTCATATTGTTAAGCGGAAGAGGAATACTTGGCAACTATCCAATTCTATTTTTATTGGGTGAGCAATGGAATGAGACTCACTTAGAATCAACAATAATAATTCAACAACTATATACACAGCCTTCGACGGTATGAAATTCACACTTTGGGATTAAAACTGAAAACACTTTTAGTTTAAATTTTACGCTAGCTTTTTTTTCACATGTCCAAATCTAATGTACAATTCTTCACAGCCAAACACAGTATCCAAACTTTACCAACATGTCAGTACAGCTCGAATATATTGTATACTAGGTTAGGATTAGCTATTTTTACATACCCTTATTACCATGTATAGCGTTATCATATAGGGTTTACTTGTTCCTCACACATAACCTCCCCTATATAAATCCATCTTGTATTCATTATCATTTACTTCAATACAATATGTAATTTCTCTCTCTTATTTATAATATGATATCAGAGCCAAATGTCTAGAGTTCAAACCTCACCGATACCCTAATTAAAAACATTGAAGCACTTGTTAGACCGAAAGAAGGTCACACATGAGGGGGCGTGTTGAAAGATATACATATTAAAGTTGCACCCTCTCTAACAACTTAAACTTTTGAAGTAGATGATTGTTAACATGATATCAAAGCCATCCTCTTTTTAATTTTCTGTTTTTAATTTCTTGGTAGTATTTCTTCAATAAACATAGCAAGAACACATATTCTATTTGGTGTCGAAAACAAGTCATTAACACGTGAAAGATCAGACTCGATCTGACTTAAAGGCATTACGTTTCATAGGCTTCATTTTTCTTCTAAGTTATCACTTGTTCTCCATGCCTTATTCAGATATAGACTGGGCATGAGACCCCACAGATCGTCGTTCCACCATACGCTTTTATTTCTTTCTTGGTGATTCACTTATCCCTTAGCGCAACAAGAAACAAAGTGTGATTGCTCGTTCTAGTACGAAAGCTGAGTACAGGGCACTTGCTAATACTACTTCAGAGCTTCTGTGGTTGCGTTGGCTCCATCAGGACATGCATAGGAGTTTTTTCATCCATTGTCACTCTTATATATTGTGATAATAAGAGTGCAATCCAAATTGCACACAATAATGTTTTTCACGAGCGCACCAAACATATTGAGATCGATTGTCATTTTGTTCATCATCATCTTCTTCAAAAGACCTTACAGTTGCGGTCCATTAATTATTTCTCATGATCATATAGTAGATATTTTCATCAAATCGCTTCCGCCAGGCCGCTTCAAGGATCTTGTTTCCAAACTCAAGATGACTTCATATAACCCACCTTGACTTTGAAGGGGCTGTAAGAATATATTGTATACTAGGGTCAGGGTTAGGGTTAACCGTCTTCGATCACCAACCCTTGTTACCATATATAACATTACCATTTAGGGTTTACTTGTTCACCATACATAACATCTCCTATATAAACCCGTCTGGTATTCATTATCATTTACTTCAATACAATATACAATTTTTCTCTCTTATTTCTAACGGTCACCTCATCACTTGTGTAAAACAATTCAATATATAAACATTGTGTAAAATAGTTCCATAAAAAACAAAATTCAAACCAAATGAGTAGTGATACAAATCTGGAAAGTCTCGAGATATGCATCACAAACGATAATTTGGCTCCCTCGTAATATATTATATATATGTGTAGTTAAGAGTGATGATCTCTTGCTAAACCCGAGCAAACAAATTCATCCACACCAAGTGACGTGTGTTTTTAATGATAAACCACTCGCAATAGTATGAATCCTTGTAGGTAGGGCTATGCTGAGGGTGTCGAACCTCAAGGACTGTGGTGGATTGTTAAGTATAAAATTAATCCTAATTTAATTCAAGAGAAAGATGATTATTTTGTTTAACTATAAGTAATTAAGTTTCAATAAAACTGAAAATAAACTAAATTATTAAGTCTTGAGATCAAGGGAAGAAGAATTTAGGGATTGACTTCACCGCTAGCCTCAAAACATGCTCAATTGTTTCAACTATGGGGAAATCCAAACTTATGTATATTCGGGAATCAATTGGCTACAAGCACACTTTAATTCAATTAAGAAGGCATATATGAATAAATACTAAGCCATAACTCATCTTCGGTTGGCACGAATTGTCTACCTAACTACTCTAATCTAGGGTGCAGTATAACTCGTCTTCCTTAAGCATGAATTATCAAAACATTCATTCATACATATTCAATTAAGCACCATTGCATGATTACTACTAAACTGTTAAGAGAAGCCCTTAGCCGCCAATCCCTGATAATAAAAATAGTTTAAATTTGATTAAAGCAAATTAATTCTAAGACAAGAGATCAATTTCATCAAAAACTAATTATTTTTATTAAAACTCAATTGCTTAGTACAACTAAGTCAATCGCTTAAAATCATGCAATCAATATACATATAAAAATCCCCAAAGTTAAGAACAACCAAACCATACTACTCGGACAGGGTTACATCAATTCCCTAAAAGAAGATTTAGCTACTCATGGAGAGGAAGGATATCATTATTGTTAGTGTAGAAGCCATCTCCATGGACAGCCAATTTGAATTTTCAATCTTCAAAACCCTAAAAGTCACCATAAGGTAGGAAAACCAGGAGAGAGAAGAGAGAGAGATCTTCAATATGTTTTCTCATCTTCTTTTATAGTGGAGATCGAGTCCTAATTCCCCTTGGATGGGCTTTACAGCTTTTGGGAACAATTAGGTCCATATAGGAACAAAAA